TAAATATAATCAAGAAGAACAGTTATTTTTTGATAAGATAAAACAAATTTATTAGCATGCACTCGTATAATTTTTAACTGTTATATACTATAGTAGCTAAAAATTATGAAATTCGCCCATATAAATGGGATTTAACGTACAAAATTCTAACGAATAAAACACAAATATATGTTAATAAAGACTGAACAAAATCACTTTGCAAGTGTTAAATGAATATAAAGAAAGTGTATCATCCTAAAAAGATATGAGGAATACAGGTATACAATAGTATTGAATAAAAATCTATATAAATAAAATTTTATATTTCTCTTATACAAGTTCTGATTTGCGACGTCACTATTAGTTAAAATATAAGTTCAATTTATGTATATGATGATAGAATTATTTCTTCTAAATCAGTAGCACCTACTTTTGTGCATAATCAATTCATATATTTTGTTCACAAAGTAACTCCTGTAATACATGTTCTAAAAAAATAATAATAGTTGTCATTAATTTAAGTTAACTCTTTATTACACGTAATTTTCTTCATGACTGATTTCATCACTGATACTATATATCTATAATGTACGCTCGTAGATATGAAGGCCAAGATTGTGGGGCCTTTTGTTTGGTCGCAGCCTTCTTTAGCTTCATGGTGTTGGTTCAACCTCGTTTTTGTTACTTGGTCGGAGCATCAGGGATACCTAATGCAGCGTACTTGTTCATGTATCGTCTGCCATAGTATTCGTGATTTTCGGCATTTGACCATTGACATTGTACATTCCCAAACGTTTCGACGGCATCATAGTCGGCATTTTAATCGTTGCCACTTTGATAAGTTGTAACACTGTGCTGGCGATTATACCTCTCACTGATGAAACGTTTGGGAATGTACTAAGTCAATGGTCTGAGGCTGGAAATCTTGAATTTTAAGTCAGAGGAGACATAACTAGATACGTTCCACAATTTCTCCCTGATGCTCCGACCAAGTCGCGAATATGAGGTCGAATCAGCACTTTAACGTATGTTTTTCCCAATTAGTATAAGATTTAACATAATGCCAAGCTCCTAAATTATGACTTATTTATACTTGATCATAAGTTTCATTTCTCTTTAGAATGTGGGGAAATCAATCAGAGTCGATGCGTTGCCACAGACACGATGGAAACCACTTATATGAATAAAGTTCCTGTATAAACTAAATCCTATCCCGGAAACATTTCTGCATAAACATGCCTTATCCCAACTTTGTAAATGAACTAATAAACGTGTGGACGAAGAACAACCAAAGTTCGACAACAACATTCTTTTGAGCGATCTCTTGGCATATTTATGTTAATGCGATTTTCTTTTTGAGTTAAAGTGCGTGATGGAAAATTTCGTAGGTTGATCTTCCTAAAAGAAGAAGATGTAATTCACATGGTTTAGTGTCATTTGGCTTTATTGAATCGTTTAGGTTGATGTATTCCTTGAAGTATCCTCTTTCGGTTGCGGTGAAAACGTACAACTTTTTATTCTCTCATGCTAGCCCTCATGCATGTATCGAGCATCGAATGGGTCAAAAGACTAACGAGTCAGTCAGTCGTCTCTATTTAAAGGCATAAAACAAATAACAAACCAAAGATAAATTAATATATGGCTATGTTCTTATTATATCTTTTTGTATTGATGTGAGACTGTGTTAGTGAGCCGGCAAATGCATGTGCTGGCTCATTTGTTCCTACATCTCTGGTGAGATCAACTATCTAAGCTCTTCCTTACTTTTTATTTGGAATTATATATCAAGAAAAGGTCTTGGTAATTTCGTACTGCAATGCCCGATCTAAACCGGACGAGGGTCGTCAACCAATTCTTACAAAATCAATGAAACTGTTTCGTCCACTCTTTCCTAATTGGAAATGGTCTAGTTCGACTGAACGACGACGCCAAATAGATCCATTGACTTCCCGAGGACAGCGGAATAAAGCCAAACAGATTAGGCTAGATCGCCACATTTATAGTGTTTTCTGGAAAAGAAGACCCTTACCAAACAAGTAAACGTGAAAGGACAAAGATCCCTTTAATAAACAAGGCCTAATCATTATGTTTACTCGATCTTTTTCAATTTAAAGCTAAGATAAACCGGTTTACTAAGCTTCCCTCGTCTGCTTTGAAGAGGTAGTCCCATCTTGACTGACTCTGGATTTACTCAGTCATCCATAACTTTCTTCTTTCAGCGGGGTAATATGTGGCTCCTGATTACTGTAGGATTAAAAAAACCTGATTTGAGAAAGACATGTAACATTAAGTTTCAGTTTTCCTTGAGTGATATGAAATGAATAGGGTTGCATATCAAATGATATTGCTTTGATTTACCATTTATCTTAGAAATAGCTTGCCCTTCCATCGAAGCAGTTTATCGTTTTCATCTGGTCTTGATTAAACATAAAAACATCTGCTATGCGGAGGATGTGATCATTTGCGACGTAGGCATCCTTTCAACCTCTCAAATTTTGAAGCTTTTGGGGATTAAGTGTTCTCATTACGATCTAGGTCTAGTGGGACAAAAACTTCTATAATGTATTCCAATATAAAATGTTATAACGATTTTTTCATTTTAATTTACTACTATTATTTTCGCTACCAGTATGGTTATATTTGTGTAAATAAAGCTCCCACTCTGAATAGTATGACAAATTTAGGATCCTACGATTGGGTTACGAGAATTTTCAATATAAAATTTGCAAATGCTTTCCTTTTCGAACACAAAAATTCTCTTAAACGACAGTGTACATAATTGAATCTGTTTGGTGATTTTTTAGAAATCATGATCATCCAGCCCATTGAGGAAAGTCAATCTGCCAAATTTAATTTTTATATTTAGGCTAAATTAAACAAGAGAAACTTGGTTTCGATGAATCTCCTAAGATAACATTATTAGGCGGGCCTTCATTTCGTATAAAAGTGCATGAAGAAGAGATTAATTGGTCGATCTCACCAGATGAGGACGGTTGAATCTCTTTGTACTGCAACCCGTTGGATTTTATACGATATTCATGATGATATCCATCATATGATGGACGAAAGCTCAGTACGTTTTCACTTGAAACGAGGGAGGAAGTCCAGTGGACTGCGTCAACATGAATTGTATGTGCTATGCAAGCGATAAAGGCTTCGTCATCACTTTGGATATGAGCAGAGAAGCATAAGTTACTTAAACCTTCTTAAAATCCCGACATTGAGAAACCATTTAAGAGCGATTAAGCTAGTTTCGTTGCCGCAAATTGTCCATGTTGCTCGGATGACCTTGAAGAATGATCCTTGCCTGACACCATTTGGTCTAGTAGTTATGGCAATTGCCAGTCCCACATCATGGACTTAGTACATTTCCAGACCTCCGCCGGTACCGTCAGCGAGTTTAGCTGGTCTTAGTTTTAAATAAGTCCATCAGAGGCATCGTGAGGTATACTCATCTGCTCGTGGGAAAATTCGTCATCACTCCTTCAGCAGCTTCAGCGACCCTATCAAAAACTAAAGCTTTGAGCGAATTTGATGGGTTTCGGAAGAAGGGCTGACAGTCGTCCTCCAATTTGAGGGGGGACCAACGCCTGAATCCCCACAAACCTGAGGATTAAGATCTTAAAGGTTAGTTGGGGACTCCGTTTTAATATAATAGGGATAATTGCTTGAATATAATTTGTCCAGTTTTGAGGATACTGGCCTAATTTAAAGCATATGCAAAGAAAAGTTTGGTTTTCAGGAATCTCTTGTTTCATAATTGTTGAGCTTACTTCCATTTCGAGTGAAAGTGTTAGGTGAAGGAGATTGCCTCGGATTCAGCGTCAGCATGAATCTTCCAGTAAAGCCAATCGACAACTGGTCAAGAGGAATCTGCCGTCGTCTTTTGGTGGAACCGACCTTCGAATCTCTTCGCTCAAGACTTTCACTCGAAATGGAAATAAGCCAATTTAAAGCAGTTTAATTTAGAAATGTTACTCTTAAGCCATTCAACCTCACTTTGGAGGGTCTACAGGAATCCTTCTGGATATGATTGATGCAATTGCACAACCAGCATGACGAGAGTTGGTGAAAAAACGAAATGTTAACTAATTATCGGTCTACATCCAGGACATTCAGCAGCCTGGAATTGTTTTCACTGTTGATAAATGAATGTCACAAGGCTTAATGCATCGATTGGTTGAAATAAAGCCGGCTTAGCAGCAAATTGTAATTGGAGATGAAAATATTGGCTCTTTGTACTGAATTAAAACTCAAAATATCAAGCGTCGGTAAAGTTGCTGATGCCCCAAACTGTATCTCCCGCATGGGAAGGTCATTCAGTATCGTAGCTATGATGGTTGTAGCAAGGGGAGAGATCGCGAAGCTCTACTGAGACCAATATTCCTCAGGTTGTACCATCCTCGTGTGGGCACAACGAATGAACTTGCCAGAAGACGAGAGAAAATGTACCAGCCTTGAGGCATTTCGAGGCCATAACGCGCAGGTTGCTAACACAGCGCGGAAGGAAGAAGGGTCACCGTGGGTAGCCATGGGTGAATAGGTCGAGGAGACTTGAAAAGACAACTGAAAGACGCTGACGAGGATGGATAAGCCCTCTAGCTCTAGAACGGCTTTCTCGGGAGGACTGCGGTTTTCGGGAGAAGCCATGCCTCTTCAAATCTTCACGTTAGCTGAAATTCTTCTGGTAAAAAGAATTTTTCCTGAATATATATATATATATCAACGCTTGATATTTTGAGTTTTAATTCAGCTCACTTTTTCTCTCTCGCATTAAAAGGAAAAAACAAAAAAATATTCTTATCACCAAAACCGGACGTGTGTCCGACTTTGCGCAATCGGAGTGATGGTTATAACTTAAATGTAGAAAGGGGGAGATAGGGGTCATCA